CTCCGTCCTGGTGGTTAGTTTCTCACAACTTGACACAAACCAGAGTCATATGGGAAGAGAGAATCTCAGCTGAAGAATTGCCTTCCTCAGACTGTCCTGTGAGCAAGTCTTTGTAGCATCTTCTTGATTAATGATTGACGTGGGAGGGTCCAGCTCACTGTGAATGGGCCACCTCTGGCACAGTCCCGGGTTGGTAAGAAAGCAGGGTGAGCCAAATCCAGGAAGCAAGCCCGTAAGCAGTGCAGGGTGGTCTCTGCTCCAGTTCCTATCTTGACTTCCCTTAGCAATGGAGCATGAATGACCTGAGAGCTGTAAGCTGAAGTAAACCCTTTCCACCCTGCATTGTTTATGGTCATGGTGTTTTATCACAGCATTGCTCTTATAGGTCAAGGTTGCCTTTGCAGTTCGGGGTCATTTGTACTTCCTTGTGGATATTATAATTATTTTTCTATTTGTGAAGAATGTGAAGAATGACATGGGAATTTTGATGGAAATTGCATTGGATCAATGAGTTATTTTGTAATATGACTTCTTTCACAATTCTAATTCTGCCAATCCATGAACAAGAGAGGTCTTTATACCTTCTAGTACTTTCTTTTTTTGGTGTTCTATAGTTGAAGTGTAGAGGTCTTTAACATCTTCGTTAGGTTTATTCCTAGGTTTTGGGTTGGTTTGCTGTTGCTGTTACTTTGAGATTGTTACAAATGAGAATGTCTTCCTGACTTGTTTTTTTCAAGACAGGGTTTCTCTGTGTATCCCTGGCAGTCCTGGAACTCACTCTGTAAACTAGGCTGGCCTTGAACTCAGAGATCCTCCTGTGTCTCCCAAGTGCTGGGATTAAAGGCATGTGCCTCCACCACCCAGCTTGACTTCCTTTTTAATGACTGAATTATTGATATAGAGAAATTAGTGAATTTAGGGCCAGTGAGATGCCTCGGCAGGTAAAGGCCTTACAGCAAAACTCCCTGACCTGAGTTTGAGCCCTCAAAACTGTCAGGTCCAAAAGGAACTCTAATTCCAAACTCCAAACGGCAGTCCAAATATCCAGAAATGGGCTCAACTTGGACTATAGGTGGATTTCTCACAGTTAGATAAAAGCCAACATTCCTCAGGAGCTTGCAAAGCCTCTTCGTCTCTACCAAAAGGAGTCATTTCCTCATCTCTGCTGTAAGAGACATATGGCTACTACCCATGGTGCTGAGTAGCATATCAAAGCTCATGCTCGCTTCCAGGCTCCTTCAGTATCCTAAGTACCTGTTATACTTTTCAAAGTTCATGCTGCATCCTAGTTCTTCTCGCCTCCTCTGCTACCTCCCTCCAGCTTTCTCCTTATAATCCCGCTATTCTATATTCTCTCTCTCCCTCTCCTTCTCTCTCCTCTCTATTCTCTATCCCTTGCTATTCTCCCCTCTCTTACAGTTAGCCCTGGCCATGTCCAGTCTGCTGGCCATGTTCATTTTCTTTCTCTCTCTGCCCTGGATTCTTCCAGATGCCTCTGGCTGTTCTCTCTCTCTCTCGTGTCTACAATGAAACCTTCCCCTTCACCATACCATGGAGTGGTCACGTCATCAGTGTATACAAAATACACATAGTGGAAGGAGAGAACGGACTCCCACAGATTTTCTCTGACCTCTACATGTGTACCATCGCACCCATGCACGGATACACACATGTAGTTGTATATACTCACACAAATAATAAATAAAAATATAATAAAAAAATAAGGTAAGTCTGAGCATGGTGGCTCGACTTTCTAATCCCAGCCCTTGAGAGGTAGAGGCAGGAGGATCAGAAGTTCCAGGTCATTCTCAGCTACATAGTGAGTTCATCTCGGGCTACGTAAGACTCTGTCTTTAAAAACAAAGGTAAAGAGACAGGATGGTTAGTCAGGCTGTAAGTGATGACTTGTCAGATGGGGAGGCCAGGATGTATAATCCAGGTGCCTACCAGAATCAGGGCTCCCCCTACTTATGAGCTGTAGGATTTGGGGCATGCTGCTTCATTTTTTTGTGACTCAATTTTCTCTGTAAAATGAGGGACAAATAGCACGTAACTCGATACCATTACACAGATGAGTGAGCACACAGAAGAATCTTGGCACAGGAGCTGGGGAGACAACACAGCAGCTAAGATCACCTGTTACTCTTCTAGAGAACACGAGTTTAGTTCCCAGCACCCATGTCAGGCGGCTCACAACCATCTGTAACTCCAGCTCCAAATGATCCGGTGCCCTCTTCTGACATCCTAGGGTCGATGCTCATGTACACACATGCACGCACGCACGCACGCACGCATGCACGCACACACACATGGGGTTAAAAAATATTTTTTAGAAGTCTCAGCACAGATCTGTGGCACACAGCCAGGAACTGCTCGATAGTGTGACTCCAGGGGCAGCAGAGACCTGAGACCCTGGTTCCCCGTGAGTGATGCAGTCTGCAATGGCCCTGTAAGGCCTGCTGGGACTCCAGCATCAGATTTCTCAAGAAAGCAAAGTGGCACCTTTCCTGAGGCGGTTGGCCTGCCCAAGTTTTCGCCCCACACTACAAAACTCTTCCCATTTAAGAGTCCCATACCACACATATTTGGAAATTTTATTCTTTTTATTGCAAATCTCTGGTAAAGGAAAAGACAGGATAGCTGATTCTCCTTTAAACTTTGGCGAGAAGAGTACTCCATTGTCTTCGCTGGATGGCTGGCCTCCCAGCTGCACGCGGAAACACTGGGGGTGGGGGCGGAGTTAGGGGTGAGACACGTAACTGATGCTGGTGACTGCCTCTCAGATGCTCCGATGTAATTGGTCTGGAGGTTGTTCAGCATCAGTAGCTCCTTAAACTCCCCGAATGACCCCAAGCAGCCAGGGTGGAGAGGCCCTGCCCCAGTTCCTTGGCAGGGACTAGGCAACATCTTGAGCACCTAGGCAATTCCACCAGCAGCTGTATCACCTGTTGACACCACCTGCTAGGCCAGAGTCGGCTTCTGTCCGCTGTCCCCCTCTTCCCAGGTGTCATCTGTGCTCATCCTTCTCCCTTAGAGCCCCCAGAGGAGAGAGACAGGGAGGGGGCATGGCCCTGTCCCAAGGCTTGTGCTTAATCACTCCAAGAAACATGGCTAGCCTAGCACAAGGGGGCGGGGGGGGGGGGGGGGACACCACTTTCTGAACACCAGTGACTTCTCCTAGGTGGAAAGATCTTCCTATCTCGAGATGAAAAGATTTGCGGGGAAATGAAGAAATGCATGGATACGTATTCATCACATAACCTCTCATGAGTCCAAATGAAAATAAAAGCTGTCAAGCTACCAAGAGTGAACAAAATATTAGGAACGTGAGCAGCATACCTTACAAGGGTCAACAGTAAGAGCCAGTTAGAATCTCGTTGTGATTTATTCTAGAAATAGAAAATGAGTTTTATTTTCCTGAGTCCTTGCAAACGAGAGAGAAGAGGAAAAGACAAGGTATTGTTCTGGGAACTTTTAAACGCTCCTGCTCTCTCTCTCTCTCTCTCTCTCTCTCTCTCTCTCTCTCTCTCTCTCTCTCTCTCTCTCGCTCTCTCTTAGGGTGCCCTCACACTTTAACACGAGTGTCTTCTGTCAGCTATGGCACACTCACAGGCGAGCAAACAGCACGGGCTCGAGTCTTCAACAACTCAAACCCGGGGACTGAAAATAAAACATCTACAAGGTGCCGGGACGCGCCTGGTATGATCCGGGAGCATCACATCGTGGGATGGTAAATGGCACATCCGTTTGACTCTGTCCACACGAACGTGTGTGTAGCGACTCCATGAATGATGCCGAATGCAGCCCATCAAGACAGAGATAAAATTGTTAGGACGCTTAAAAAGTACGTAGGATCCCAGTCTTACATCACAGCCCTGATGTGTTTACCACACTTTCTGTTTTGTTGGTAATTTTTTTTTAAAACAAGGGGACAGTACAGTGATGTGATAAAAACCAAGGCACAAATATACAGTTACAACAAATGTCTATAAACCCTAGCACTTAGTGTCTATTTGGGGAACATTAAGGTAAACTGTAAAGTCTGAAAAATTCTCACATTCATTACAACTGATGAACAATTAACTGTGCGGAAAAACAGACTGCTTAGCCACCACCTCATTATTAAATATATGGCTATTGGCTACACCGGCTGTAAATGGTTCCAAAAATAGCTTTAAATATTAAAATCTGGTACCTCTAGGAGGATATAAATATTGTGCCTTGTGGGATCTAGATAAATGTAGTAAGTTTCCACTTAATTTGTAATCTATATGGCAGTTATCAATTTTAAAAAACTATTCTCATTATATAAATGGCAAGGTTTTTTCTTTTCCCCAGTGTTAAATCTCTTCTCTCTACAAAAGACAGGTGGTTTACAAGAAAATAATGTTTAAAAAAATGCATAGACAACAGTAATACAATCCAGATGTGGACTAAAAGCTGAACTCTAATCTACCAGGACATTCTCTTGAAATAGAGTGAGGAGCAGTACATACCCGGAACAATTCGTTCATTTCTTAATTTAAAAAAATCACCATGGCAGCTTTTCTTTTCAAAATAGTCGTCTTGCTGGCTAGAGCATCAAGCATTGAAAATAAATTCTTTTCATTCATAAAAGCCTTTCAAAATCCGAGGGCATAGGGCTCAACTGCACTTAGCTAGGGAAATAAAGTTGTAAAAATTGTATTTAAGATTTTTAAATCAAGGGTGTTTCAATCCCAAAGGTAAACGTTTAGACCCATGAGAACACGTCTCTTGGCACATGCACACCCTGGATGGGATCCAGAACACAGCCATCGTCCAGCTGCAGAGGTGTCTGGCTCTTAGCCCCACAGGCCGTCTCCTGTCATGTCCTTGTCCCGGCCCTCTTCACATGGAAGTTTCTGGCTTCTGCATCTGCTGAATCTGCTTCTGTAGCTGGTCCCTGTCCAGCTTCATCTTGGCCTCCAGCACTTGCCTGAGGGATCCTATGCTTTCGTAGATGGCTGTAAACCCTTGAGGAGGAGGCAAACGTCACAGGAGTTAACAGTTTGCAAGCAGTGCCCTGCCAGGTTCTACAGCTACAGTAAACGCTGACACTCCAGGGGTCAACCCTGGATGGGGGCCTCCATGAAGACTGCTTCTGAGTTACCAAGGGGACTATTGCAGTCAAGACACAGGACAGATGCTACTTTAGCCAAGTGATCCCAGCTCACACCACTATCACCGAGACATCACATCATGTACCTGTGGATCAGATGGCCAGAGCAGGGCGGCCATCTCTCCTGTGGCATCTCTGTTCCAGGTCATATCATAAGGAAGCCATCAACCCCCAACCGAGCTTTCTGCAAAACACTGCCCTGTAGTCTAAAAAGACTAGGTCCAGGCGCCTCTGTGGGTCAAGAGAGCACCAGGAACTTAGGCCTCCAGCTCCTAAGGGACCAGACAGAACTCTACAGTGAGGTCTTCTGGCCCAGTGGCCCCACAGGTCAGTGCCGGGGCTGAGCTTTGGCTCCAGTGTCCCCGGGGTCTCCTGAGAGACTGGAGGTTTGTTTCCAATCATCTCTGGGGTTATGAGTGAAGGCTTTTCTGAGGCTCCAGTTCTCACTGCAGGACCTGGCATCTACACTGCTGTGCTCCAAGAGGTCACTTTGGGCCTGTCACCCTAAACATGGATCCCAGATAGGAGCCAGATTTCGCTGAGAAAAATGCTGGGCTCAGCCAGGCATAGTGGCACATGCCTGCATTTCAGTACTTGGAAGACTAAGGCAAGACTAAGAGTTTGAAACCAGCCTGTTCTACACAGCTAGACTCCTTTTCTTTCTTTCTTTCTTTCTTTCTTTCTTTCTTTCTTTCTTTCTTTCTTTCTTTCTTTCTTTCTTTCTTTCTTTCTTCCTTTCTTCCTTCCTTTCTCTCTCTCTCTCTCTCTCTCTCTCTCTCTCTTCCTTTTTTTTTTTTTTTGAGACAGGGTTTCTCTATGTAACAGCCTTGGCTGTCCTGGAACGCCCTCTGTAGACAAGGCTGGCCTCAAACTCACAGAGATCCACTTGCCTCAGCCTCCTGAATGTTGGGATTAAAGACATGCAACACCACTGCCCAGCTAGACTTCATCTCAGAAGCAAAACAGCATCATAGAGGAACTGATCCAGATACACAAGACTGTGGTGATATATATTGTGTACCCTAATAAACTTGCCTGAGGATCAGAGGACAGAGCCAGCCACTAGATCAGACATAGAGGCCAGGCAGTGGTGGCACACACCCTTAATCCTATCACTCAGGTGGCAGAGATCTGTCTGGATCTCTGTGAGTTCAAGGCCACACTAGAAACAGCCAAGCCATGGTGGCACACACCTTTAATCCCAGTACTGGGAAGCACACATGCCTTTAATCCCAGTGCCCCAACTGGACACACACTGAGAAGGAAAACGGCCACCTAATAAAGAGATCCTCACTCGGGTGCCCAGCCCTCCCTTTTGTCTGTGTGTTTTCAAGACTGTCCTGGCTGTCCTGGAAATCTCTTTGTAGACCAGGCTGCCTCTGTTTCTGCCTGTGCTGGGATTAAAGGCGTATGCCACCACACTCAGCCTGCCTTTTTCTTTTTCTTTTTCTTTTCCTTTTTTTTTTTTGAGACAGGGTCACTATGTAACTGCTGAGCCATCTCTCTAACCCTGGCTACATTCATATGATGATTCAAAAGGAAAAAAATTAAACACATAAACACAGAATAAAATGGCAGATACCAGGGGCATGATGTGGGCAGACAGGGGAGTAAGGAGACTCAGATCAAAGGGTAAAAACAGCAAAATACATAAAACAAACAAGTCTAGAGATCTAATACACATTGTGAGGAAAATTCAATATATTGTCTTTGGGGTTTTTGATGAAAGTGTTGACTCAAGGTAGACACGAACACACATACATATGCACACATATACACCATACACATATACACACACCATGCACACACACACACACCATGCACACACACACCATGCACACACACACACACACACCATACACATACATATGCACACATACATACACATATATACCATACACATATACAATACACATTCACAAATATATACACATACATACACACACATATATAGCACACACAACACACATATATCCCATGTGAGATGATGGGTAGCTTAATTTATGTGAACACAGTAAACGTTGTGTTACATATATCAAAACATAAACTTTAAATATACAAATAAACATTTTTTTTTTTTTATTTAAAGCACGTTTGAGGGCCAAAGAGATGTGTCAGCGGCTAGTTTTGCTGTGCTGGCTAGTTTTGTGCCAACTTGACACAAGCTAGAGTCACTAGAGAGGAGGGGTCCTTGACTGAGGAAACACCTCCCTATCATTTGGCTGTAGGCAAGCATTTCCTTAATTAGTGATTGATGGGGGAGGGCCCAGCCCACTGCAGGTGGTGCCACCCCTGGGCTGGTGGCCCAGGGTTCTATAAGAAAGCAGGCTAAGGAAGCCATGAGGAGCAAGCCAGTAAACAACACTCCTCCTACAGACTCTGCCTCAGTTCCTGCCTCCAGGTTCCTGCCTTGCTTCGGTTCCTGTCCTGACTTCATTCAATGAAGACCAGTGCTGTGGAAGAGTAAGTCAAACCAACCCTTTTCTCCTCAGGTTGTGTTGGTCATGGTGTTTCATCACAGGAACAGAAACCCCAACTAGGACAGTGGTTAAGAGCACTTTACTGCTCTATTGGAGGACTGGAGTTCAGATCCCCACATCCACATCAGGTGGCTCACAAATGCCTGTTGCTCCTCTCCTAGAGAGCTAACACACTCCTTCTGACCTTCATGGGCACGTGTATACACACACACACACACACACACACACACACACACACACACACACACCAGAGAGAGAGAGAGAGAGAGAGAGAGAGAGAGAGAGAGAGAGAGAGAGAGAGAGAGAGAGAGAGAGAGGAAATAAAACGGATCTTTTAAAAGAAATTTTGATTAGGAAAAAAATGTTTAAAAGGTGAGAGAGAACTGACTCTACACTCATGTGCATTGTGCATATGGCCAGCAGTGCAGAGGTAGCCCTCAAAAATTCCTCAAAGGCACATTGATCCTGGCCATGAACAGGAAGAAATCAGCGGGTGGCACTAAAGAAAATGTCCACCATCAGCAGGTTAAGCATTTTGTCTGCCTGTGTATCATGGAGATACTTCAGAGACCTGCAACTGAACTAATACTTTAGGCCTGGGAGCGTAGCTCACTGGCGGAGGGCGTGCAGTATAGCAACTGGGAGGTGCTGAGTTCAACTCCCAGCACTACAGTAAGTAAATAAATAAATTAGCTAGCATCTTTGTTCAGTACTGCATAGATACTTAGAAGAGCAACTAAAGACATAATGCTGTTTTTTTTTTTTTCCTAGCCATCTCAGTCTCAGTTTCAGGGGAAATCTCAGTGACTAGCTTTTTAGATAACTCCGCCGCACGAGCTGCGTGCGGGGCTGGCATACCGGCATTAACCTCTGCTTTCATTTCCTTCATATCCTCGTTCATCTGTAACTCCAGTTTGCTGATCCGCCCATGCACCTTCTCCTCTTCCGGCTTCGTTCTCTGCCCTTCCACGTTCTTCTTCTGACTCTCTTCGATTTTGTCAAGCCTGGCCGACATCTGGCTGAGCTTCTTCTCCATGTCTCTTTCACAGGCTCCCTGAGGTCCATAATAAGAATTACACTTGGTTATCGCCAAAAAGGAGCATACACCGTGTCTCACACCGGCCGCAGCACTTAACCATCTGCAGGGACCAGAACCTCCATGGCTCCTTATTGTATGGCCTGCAACCATTCTCCAAGGTCACCCAGAGTGAAAATCTACACTTTCTTCTGCCTCTTGAGTTTGCTGTGGCCATATGATCTAGCCAAGGGGGCGTAAGAACTGTGCATGTGACTGCTTCCAGAAAAACTTAAAGAACACGTGCTGCATATCCTTAACTTTTTCCTTTCCCTTCTGTTTCTACCATTCAGTGGATGGCTGGAGCTCTTTCAGCCACCCTGAATGGAGGGGACCAGGGCTGCTCTCTGAGCCTGGCAGGAAGCTAACCTAAAAGGATTCTGGGTCACTGAAGACTGACAAGCCCTCGCCTCATGTTTCTCCTGAAAAATGCACACCTGGATTTGTTTTACGTGAGGGAAACGTAAGTTGGCATCTTAGTGAATCCACCATCATCCTGGAGTTCATTAGCTTAAGTCAATGTGAAAATCAAGCTGTAAACCACAGACTCTGAACTCCACAAATGTGCCAGGATGCGTCAAGGCACAACACTAGTAGGTCTGAGCAAAGTAGGGGGAAGAGTCAAGGGATAGATTGGAAATCCCGAGTGTTTCCTTGTCTTTGCAGTCCACTATCCCTGTGTTTGGTGAAACTCTTTAGGGACACCAAGCCCTCATCATGTGACATGACACCACTCCTGTGACGGCATTGATGCAGAGCCCACAACTCAACGAGGCTCAGCACCTGGAGGAAGCAGTCGGACGAACAAACCGCACCAGCCACTTCTGCTCAGTCTAAACCCCACGGGAGGAAGCTGGGCGAGAAAAGAAAACCCAGCACAATTTGCCTGCCTAGCACCAGTTCCCAAACCTGCTGGTTTTAAATGTGATAAAAGCACGACTTTTGGAAGATATTTTTTTGGCAGTTCTGCAAGCCTTAGCTCTTTGAGAGAGGGGGGTGGAAGCAGAAGTAGATGGCCGAAAAAAAATGGATTCTGCTCTGTCGCCCTGGGAGAATGAGGCACACTGTTATTACAGTCCGTTAGAGTGGCCTGGAGGGGCAGAGAGTCACTAAATATGTGAAAGCAAAAAGTAAAAGCAGAAAAACAGGATCAAGTCGGTGACTGATAGCTGTATTTAGAAATGTGTGATAGACAACTGGGTTCACTAAAGTCGTGACTTAAAAACCATTAACTGAAATGTTCAGTTTGTCCTTTCTTAATGAACATAAATCAGAGCACTCCCCGTCTTTATGAACAATATGAAGAACAGGGAATGGGGGGCATGGCTGGGTGCTAAGGTTCAAGATTAGCTGATCTGATGGCTAGTGTTAGTTGTCAATTTAACAGAATCTAGAACCAACCGGGAGTCTCTGGGCGTGCCTGTGGGGGGCTATTTTGGTTTGCTGGAGGTGGAAAGACTCAACCACTGTGAGTGGCCCCATTCCATGGCTGGGACCCTGAACCGTGTGAGTGGGAAGAATGCTGAGCAGTGGCCTGTATTCACCCCTCTCTGCTTCCTGTAGTGGATGCAACATGACCAGTTGTGTGAGGCGCTCCTGCTGCCTTGACCCCCTCCCCGTCACGGAGTGTACCCTTGACCTGTGAACCGGAACAAACTGCTTCTCCCTTAAATTGCTTTCTTCAGGGGATTTTTCTCATAGCAACAGGAAAAGAAACTAAGATAGCAGGTATGAGAACCAGGGTTTGATCCCCAGAACAAAGGAAGGAAGAGCAAGAACTGGGGAAATGGGAGAGGAAGAAGCAGGGAAAGAGAGGGGGGTAAAAAGGAAAGGAACACGGAAATGATTCAAAGGCACGAATGCCTGGACAGCTGTGGGTGGTGCCAAATTAACGAGTGCCAAGTCCTTAGGTCCTGGTGAGACATGGCAGGCCGCCACTGAGTATCTATTATTGAAAAATATCAATACCCACACTGTTTTCCTTCACAATCAAGGAAAGGTGGTCGATTTTCTGTAAAAGCTCTTTCTCTATCCGTTCTTGTTCTTGTTGCAGCCAGCTCCGTGCAGATAAAATCTGGTTGCTGAGCTCCTCGACTGTACCTTTAAATCTACAATAACAAAAGAAAGGCAAGAAAAGGCATGTAGACAAGTTGAATGTAAGGCCGTTTTAAGGAGCATTAAACAATGTCTATTCAATGAGAATGCCTTGCTTTCCTTCTCTTAGGACCACATGCAACATGAAGCTGGTGGAGGATGGAAACACAACAGGAACTCACCTGATGATGCTCCTACCCATAGGAGCTGGCAGCTCGGGCACAGAGGTGACACAGTAATACAGAGATGCCAGGGGCTAGTGACCTTTGCAGTTCTAAGGGTCCATGGTCCTCCTTGCTCAGAGGACACACCATCCTTCACCTCTTTTTTCAGAATCCTCTCCTTACCTGCACCCTCCCTCCTTGTATCTCCCAGGACTAGAGTCTGGCTTGCTTTCTCTCTCTCTCGTGTTTTCTATTGCCCTTTCCCCATACAGACATGGCCTAATTTAAACCAGTAGGAAATAATCTAGGCATAATGGAACATACCCGAAATCCCAGCACTTGGAAGGTATAGCCAGGAGGATCAGGAGTTAAAGGTCATAGTGAGTTCAAGGCCAGCTTGGGTAACTTGAGATTTAGTCTCAAAAAAAAAAAAAAAAAATCAAACAGAAAATGGAAAGTACCCCTACAACATTCCATCCTTTCCAGAATCTTTAACTATCAATGCATGCTACTTCCCTTAATCAATTTCTTCTTATTTGTATTAACATGTAAAGAAAGCATAGACTATATAAAGATATATGTAGATGTGTAATAGATGTAGCTATGTGATTTAAATAATAATAAGAACACTCATTAAAGTCACTAATTGTCCTGAAATGTCTACTTTTTGTTTTCTTATGTAAGGAGTCTTCACGTCACTGGGATACATGGCTGCCTAGCCAGAGATCACATTTACTAGCTTCCCTTGCAGCTAGGTGAATATGATGGTTAATCTTCTGTATCATCTTGACTGTATTTGAAATCATCTAGGAGACACACCTTGGGTGTGAGGGTGTTTTCAGAGGGATTTCATGAAGAGGGAAGATCCACTCTGAATGTGTTAAACACCATCCTAATGGACTAGGGTCCCACATTGAAAAAAAAGAGAGGGGAAGGAGGAAGTACACTAAGCTCCAGCATTCATCTTTTTTGCCTCTGACTATGGATGCAATGAGACTACCCACTTCTTGTTCCTGCAACCACATGTTCATCGACATGGTGGATGGTATCCCCTCAAACTGTGAGCCAAACTGTCATCCTCATTACTTAAGCACTTTTGTCAGGTCTCAGCAATGAAAAAAGGAGCAGTTACAGTGCAGTGTACCAGTAAGTCACGTGACACAGTGCATGAAGGACAGAAGTACATGGCTCTGGTCACGTCCTTCAAAATAGAACTGTCGCCCTGGATTTCCCCTCTGTAGCAGCTGGGGAAGATCAAGGCCTGGAGCTGTAGAGGCTCCACACTGGGTGGTCAGAGATGCCCTGTCTGTCCTGGAACACTGACCACAGAACACTGAACCATCTTGTAGTTGAACTAATATAGCTATCTGTACAGATTGAGACACTGGCCACCACCAGGACTTAGAAGACCCAAGTGTGCAGCCCAGTCACACTCCCCCAGAAGTTAGCATTGCCAGGACCTGCTATTCTTTACCAGTGCCTTCCTCTCAGGACTCTAGTGATGACGTCAGGCTTGCTGGGATGACCCACCCATTTTAAAACCTTCTTTAGGGGGCCAGGGAGTGGGTTCAGTGGGTAAAGCCCTTGCTGTGCAAGCATAAGGGCCTGATCCCCAGAACCCATGTAAAGCCAGAGGTGGCCTATAATTCCAGCACTCCTATGACAAGATGGGAAACAGAGACAGGAAACCCTAGAAGCTCCCAGGTCATCTAGCCTGGGGTACATATTGATGAACAACCACAGACCTTCTCTCAAAGAAAAGAGGTGAGAACTAACACCCAAGGTTATAGTCTGACTTTGACACCTATACCATGGTATGCACATGTGTGTGCACACACATGCGCACACAGATTTTTTTTTTCTTTTTCACAGATTTTTTTTAAAAGGCATTTTTCCCCTAACCTATGGCCTCACTCATGCTAGGCAAGCACTTTACTCCTGAACTACATTCCAGGTGAAGACGCTTAGTCACACCTGTTGCATGATATTTTGTTTGTGTGCTGACAAATAAAGCTTGCCTGGAGATCAGAGAAGCAAAGCATCAGCCACTTAGAGACCTCTTACCTCTACGAAATCTCAGACCAAATGGGTGGTCCCGTCTAAGAATCCTCAGACTGAATGGGCCCAAGATCCCGTCTCCACCCACCGTATATTTCTGTCTCCACCTCTCTGGCACTGAGATTAAAGGTGTGAGCCTCCCAAGTGCTGAGATCAAAAGTGTGATCCACCAATGCCTGGCCTCTATGATTAACTAGAGGCTAGCTCTGCCCTCTGATCTCCTGGCAAGCTTTATTTGTCAGAACACAAACAAAATATCATACAATACACACCTGCCAAGTTCCTTTCCCTAAAAGTTAACAAACATATTCACATGGAGAATTTGGGGGAATCATTATTTAACTTAACATAACCACATACCTATTCCCTGAAGCACCATTAATAATAGATGATACAGAGCACCCTGTTTAAGTCCTTATCTGAAACCTGGACATCAGCTCCCTAAACTGTAGACTCTAAAGGATTAAGAACAAGGTCTGTTTTGTTTTGTTTTTTCTTATGTTAAGCCTCTAGGCAAGTGCTTAACAAATACGTACTAGGGGCAGGGAAGTTGACTCGGTGGGTAAAGTACTTGCTGCACAAACACAAGGACCAGAGTTTGGATGCCCGGAATCCCTGTAAAAAGCCAGACGTGATGGCTTGCACCTACAGTCCTAGCACTGGGGAGATGGAAAAAGAGTCTCACTAGCCAGTTAATCTAGAAGAACCCATGAGAGACCCTGCCTCAAAAAAATAAGGTGGAGTGGGAAAGAGGAGGATGCCCAATGTTGACCCTCACCTCCACACACTCATGCACCCATTCCATCTACCCCTGCACACACACACACACACACACACACACACACACACACACACACACACCCCACATATACACATCAAAATATAACAAATAAACCAAATGCACATTGAATGAAGAGATGGACCATCATTCATTCAACTGCTAGAAGCAATAATTATGAAGAAAAAGTGACAATGTGCCACATGGAAACCTTTTCTTTTAGCTTTCATTATTGTTTTCACTCTGTGTGATAAATAAAAACCAGGAGGTGGGCAGAAGAGATGGCTCATCAGTTAAGAGCACCTGCTGTTCTTCCAGAGAATGGGAGTTCAGTTCCCAGCACCCATATCTGGCTACTCACAACCACCTGCAACTCCAGCTCCAGGGGATCCAATGCTCTCTTCTGGCCTCTGTAGGTACTGCACTCATGTGCACATATCCACACAGACATAAATAAAAATAAAAATAAATCTTTAAAACAAACAAAGTTTAGAGATTATGTTTTAAAATAAAAGCAAGAGGGAGAAAATGTGAATTCTGTGAACTCAGAAAGGAACTCGAGAAAACCCTTTACAACCTGATAACTTACTTAGTGTCCAGGAGCTGAAGCTGGTGGTTGCTGTCTCTGTGGGACATCTTCAGTTTGGTGCTCTGCTCTGAAATGGACAGGTCTACTCTGCTCAAAAGCTGAGAAATCTGGAAAAGAAGATTGGATTATAAAGATCTCACATCATGTCTTCAGGGGCCATTTCAGAAAACATGGCATATGCTCTCTGCTGGCCAGTGGCATTGAGAATCACTTTACTAAGTCCATTTAGGAGTTTGCCTCCTCTTTCCACCTCTGTTTTCGTGTGTGTGTGTGTGTGTGTGTGTGTGTGTGTGTGTGTGTGTGTGTGTGCAGATGCATGTGCACACAGGTATATATGGAAGCCAGAGGTCAACATGAGTGTCTTTCTCAATCATCCTCTATTTTTTGAGGCAGGGTCCCTCACTGAATATGGAGCTCATCTATTGGCTAGGATAGCTGGCCAGTAAGTCTCCACTACACAGTTCTTGATATTACCACAGTGTCTAGGTTTTGAAAAACATTTTTTTAGGGGCTAGAGAGATGGCTCAGTGGTTAAGAGCACTGGCTGCTCTTCTAGAGGTCCTGAGTTCAATTCCCAGCGACCACATGGTGGCTCATAACCATCTCTAGTAGACTCTGATGCTCTCTTCTGACATAAAGCCGTACATGCAGACAGAGCACTCATACACAAAATAAATAAATAAAGCCTGTGAGTAACAAAAACCAATCAAACAATAAACATCTGAAGTAGGGGCTAGAGAGATGGCTCAGTAGGTAGTTAAGAGCATATATTCCTCAGAGTTCAATCCCCAGGACCCGTTTCTTACATTAATCCAGCTCCAGGAGGAATCCAAGTCCTCTGGCCTCTGGGAGCACCTGCACTCATGTACACACACACACACACACACACACACACACACACCAAGCTGGTGAAATGCTAAGTTTCGCTTTGTGAAATAAATGATGAATTTCAAGGTGAAATACCCCAAGATTCCTTGGCCAGCTTACTTGCTTCCTCTCTAGCTTTGGCCTAAGTTGTTCCCACACACAGACCACGTGATGAGTCAGCACATGCAATGTGTCCCAGTCAGTAAAGAGCATATTTCCTGAATCAGACACTGGGATAGACAACTTCCAAAGCTATACTGGGTCACTCACCTGGGCAAGAGGTAGTTTGGGGGGACATAATTTAGAATTTCTGGGGTATATGAATTATTTTATGAATAAGGGGAAAGAATCTTTAAATTGGCACTGTACCAAAAATGCTCTGTGATCTGGCTGCCTGATTCACAAAGGCCCACTCC